TGAGCGCAAAATGGTCTGACAAACATGGTCAGTCTGGAGTGCATAGAGCTCACGTTCGTCGGGGGATAAAGAGTGTTCGCGTTGGCTGACCTTGCCAACTGGGGCTGTGCTTGCCTCCTTCACTCCGTCCATCCAAATGCGTCACGGATGCCCCCGATTGAAAAAGAGTGAGTGAGCGCCAGATTGATTGTTTGTGATTGAAATAAATATTTGATGGACTTCCTTTGGGATATACCTGATGGGAAGCTGATTTGATAATTGATTGAAAAATTTCTCCTGCCCTTTTTGAACCCTGGCTGTGATTGCAAAATGGTGTGACAAAAGATTCAGTCCATGGAGGGGTGTCAGGAATATAAGCCTATTCTTGTGCACTGAGGTTGGAACATGGAGCTGCGTGTCGCAGCCCCTTGCAAGAGACTGCGTTATTGTAGCCAAGTCACAGTGGACCGCCAGTGTCAAACAGCTAGAGCATAAAGAACGAGAGTTGCGTGAGACGCTCCGTGAACATGTCAAACACATCTTGGAAGGAAAGCGGTTCTTTGTTTGGCAGGAGCTCATTGACAAATACAACCTGCCAGACAAAAATCTTCTGAATGACACGAAGGGAGGTTTCAAGCTCAGTGGTTGGCTGCCCACAAGTGGGTCCTCCCCATCCCAACTCAAAAGACCTGAATATTCGGTCTCTAGTTTTCTTGTGCTGGCCAGCAGGCTGAACAAGCCCACCTTTGAAATGTGCATGAAAGCCCCGGACTCTGAGCTTGAGAATTCCGCGTGGGAAGAAACCATGGAAGAAGAAAAAGCCGGTTGGGTTTGGCGTTGCGATGATGAAAGCCTTACTGACAAGGCCGCAGCACGGAGATTTGGAATTAGGCACCGCGTGATCGACGATTGTAATTGTTGCGGTGTCAACTTCACGATTGGATTGGCTGAGCGATTAGTTCTCCCATCTACGATCGCAAGACCGCATACAAACAATTTCCTGTCCGCTTAGAAGATAGGGACTTGCTCAGATTCGTCGTGCGCGACCCGGGTTTGAGTCCGCAAGGGTTTGTGGTTTCAACGCGTTACCCTTCGGAGCCACAAGATCCATTGCGGCCTTCCTTAGAATTTCCGCATGTGTATGGCAGTTGGGCATCTTGGCAATCAGTGTCATGTGGACTGCCTTCTTTGACGATTATTGTGTCGTGAGCAGGTGTCTGTTCAACAAGCTTAATAGAGGTTGGTCATACCGAAAAACGCGTGAATGAGTTAAAGTGATTTATTTCCGAAATCTTGGTTGAAAACAGACTTGCTTTGAACACTTGTGAGCGCTTAAGGGGAAGGGTGAATTTCTTTGAAGGCCATTGCTATGGTCGTGGCCCAGTGCAAGCGTTGAGGACATTGGACAAGATTTCTAGGTCTGGAGCCACGTCGTTTGTTTTACCAACCTATGCCAAGCGTGCTGTCCAGCAATTGCGTGAGCGGCTCACGTCAACCCTGCCTTTGCAACTTTTCAGTTAGGGCCTTGAATACACGGTATCTTTTCACAGACGGTGCATGCGACCCCGAAACTTGCGCTGGTGGAGTATGAGCCGTCCTGTACGACGAAAGTGGCGGCAAGGTGGCCGCCTTCATGGAGGAGCTTTTCATGTCGCCGGCCAATGGGATATGTAAATTGGACATCCGGAAATCCTACCTGTGGTTCTGGCTTTTTGCGCTTAGGGACGTTTGTTAGCATCCACGCAAACAGTTGCATATTTGGACAACGACGCCCTCATAAAATCATGTGCCAGCGCTCCCAAGAGCGCAGACATGGTCGAGCACGTCAGGTGGCCGGAACGCTTGTTGCAATTTCGAGTTTGGTTTGCAAGAGTGCATGCAAAAAGCAACCCGGCGGTTGATGGGCTGCCAACCGAATTTTCGTCCATGTCCCGCGCTCGAGCAACATGTCCGTCCTGTTTGAAGTAGTTTGTTTGTGTACATATCAAACGTGTATTTGCGTGAATTGATACACGTTGCAGCGGAATGACTTTTGAGCAAAAACACAAAAACGGGTCGGAAAACCGGTGCTGGAGTTCCATCGACGAACCCATGGACATGTGTCAGGCAGTGGTGATAACATAAGTTTCTGTTGTTCATGACAGCTGTTGCATGTTGTCAACTCGCGCTTCGGAATGTGATTATGCTAAACATGGAGGTTTTGTTAAGTTCTCATTGTTGTGACGATGTGTGATGTGATAGCGGCTTGTGTGGCAAAAGTTCATGCTGTTGTCCTGGCTTCAGTTTCATTTGAAGTTTGACGCTGGTGCACATCTGCGCCGCTCGTAGTTATGTGTGCAACGGCGAGCGGTTGCGTAACTTTGAGGATATGCCCGGCATCCACACAAAAAATCCCCAATGTTGCTGTAGCCCCACGCCATTAACAGACTTTGTATAATGTTCTAATTCCAATCGCCAGCAAACTGGTGCCATTCATGCCAAGTGAATTTTCGCCAAATTTTGCAAGATATTCTGCCAATGGATCCTTTCAGCTTTCAGGTGCCACCCATGTCTCCTACCCGCAAAACAGGAGCGTCTTTGGTCGTAGGCTTAGACCCTGTTCCCAAAATTGAACTTCATAGGATTTGTAGGCCATTGTCGCTGCACGTAATTTGTCAATGAGCCGCATCGGCGTCGCGTGCCGACAAATTTGATAAAAACCATGCGCAACCTGCGATGAAGTGAAGTTAGCGTGCCAGCCCCGGCTGGAGGTAGCAGATGCTTTGTCAAGGCTTATTTGTGGCACAGAAGAGGCACTGATGGCTGCTGTTTGTAGGGCAATTCGCATGATGTTTATCAGCCCATGCTGCAGGTCGCTCAGGTTTTCTGAACAAAAGCATACCCAAACAAGCTCGCGTGCTCGTTTTATTCAGCCGTAAGAATGTGCAGGGCGGGAAGAAGACGTGGCGATGTAATAATTACTGTCCACATCCTGATGCCTGGAAGGAACGCACAACGTGGTTGCTCCCTAGTTGTGACGATAAGTTTGCTGTCTTAGCGTTCATGTCGTGTACTTTTGACGACTCAAGCCGCAGGAATTGGCGTTTGGGAATTTTTTCGTGCTGATCAGCGGAACAAGGTTTCGACGGAGCACCCATGGCCAGTTTGCCGGAGTTGGGCGTGGCAAGTTGAAGTCGCGGGGGAACTAATGAGTAGTTTTTTTTGGTGCAGATCGGCAGTGCTTTTCCTGCATGCATGAAGCATTTGAAGCAGTTCACTTTGGGAGCTCTTTGTCGCATTCCAGAATGGATACCACCCTCTAACTGCTCTGGCTCAAGCACAGGCTCAAACCAAACAGGGTTGGCTGGAATCAGGGCTGACACGAGGGACGAGAACTCGGTGGCCGGCAAGTCAGAGCTAATTTGCAAGCATCGCATCCACAAGTACTATACCCACCGACGATAGTTGCCACTTGCATTTTCGCATGTATGTTTTATTTTTTTGTGATGTTTGTTTAAACAGATTTTGGATCTTCTCTCGAAAGATGTTACGGTCAACATGCCGCCTCATGATGAAGCTCAGCTGGGTATTGCGCCATGCAATAACATGTGGCGTGTGATTTTCAACGCTTTTTGTGGGTTTATCTGATCCAGAATTTGAGGATGTGAACGTGTTTTTCACAGGCAAGCTGGGGGTGCATGACATGAAATGCTGAGATGGGCATTGGCCATGTCCTGTGCGATGTGGACGCAACTCATGTGTTCGCGCGAGGCATATGTTGAGGCAAAGCATGGAGAGTTTGACCTTTCCTGGTGTGTTCAGGCAAGAGTGCGCAGAATCCGCAACAATGGCCGTTCTTGAAGACGAGTTTTCAGGAAGTGACCGGCCCAGAAAAGAGAACAGCGTTTGCGAATTCTCGTGTGTGCAAACTCTGGTTGCGGACAAGGCAGCTGGTGGGCCACCTGTCCCCAAAGAAGGGTCAAAGATGCTTGGCAAAAGATTGAACGGCAATGACGTGCGGCTCGAGTTCATTCAAAAACATGGTTTTGCTTACTTGCATGTCAGGCAGCTGGAGAAAGTGTCTCAAAATGTGGGATGCGCCCCTGGCTTCCGGTGCATGTCCTTGGACTTGGAAGAAACTCACAGACTTTTTTGTCCTGCAAGACCGGTTTCTCTCAGCAAGGTCCAAGATAAGCGAATTTGGAATGGCACACAATGGCCGATTTCCCAGCTTTGTTGCAGGTAATCTGTTGTAAGGAGCAGTGTTTTGCATGACAAAGGTGAATACAAGCGTGTCACTACGCCGAAGTTACCTCCCCGATTTCAGCAGCGAGATGTGTGGGAATGGGGTTGTCCAGCACGAGGCACGATAAGACTGCTTGAGAAGTGGTTCGCAACACCTCTCTTGTCACATGAAGGCAACATGACCGTCACAGGGAAATGCCAGCCGCCAAAGCCAGGCTGTGGCACAGATGTTTTCATGTTTTGTCGGCTGTTCAATCGATGCTAGTCAGTCAACGCATTTGTCGCTGCTTTTGGATGCAAAGGAGAAGAAGGACAAGCAGGACCGACGCTTAGCAAGTTACGCGCAGCTCTGTGGTTGACATCGCTGTGCCTTGGAAGGTATGTGTTGGTCACAGAATGCAATGCTTGTGGGAGCCTGAGGGTTGCTTATAAGTGGTGTAGGTGTTCGCGTGTTGTGAGGACCATCGCAATTGCTTGTGAGTTTGTCTATGCCCGTCCACTCCACTGGGGAATGCAACCATGACCTGCCAAGAAAATGGTCATTTCCTGCAGCCAAACTTGGAGTGTGCGATGCCGCATTGTGGCAATCTGTCAGCTGAATCGATGTTCTCAACAGTGTTGCACACCTGCGACGGCAAGCAGTATGGAGAGCGCTGTGCGGCATCCTGCCCGCCAGGATACGAGTACGTGCAACTGACTGAAGTTCATACCTGCTCCGTTGCAAGCAGGGCTATTGTACGTGTCTGCACAGCAGATGGCGACTTCTGACTTTGATTAGCGGCTTAGCGCAAAGGCCGGGCCAAAAACTCCATGTGGCTCTTCTGGTGACAAGTGACTTGGTTGCAGGCTTCTGGCCTTTCAAGAAGCACAGGCATCTGAGATATCGAGACATTGCTGTGTGCAATGCTGTCTTCTCACTTCTTTTGAAGGTGCATGTGCGTGAAACCAGCCACCAGCACGGGTTCCATTGGCTATGGGTGTCTTGGCAAGAAGCGACTAGTTGCTTGAAGGATAGCTGAATGTATCATGAGGAACAAGAGCCGAGACATCCTTCCAGAATTCACGGAGGGCGACTCTGGTGATGCTGGCCGCAGCGCCAACTTTTTCAATACAGATATTGGTTTTTGTTCACAGTGGATCTTTGCAAAAGGAGGAGTGGAGGTGGTCATGGGCAAATTCCAAGTCCAGCCACTTCCGCATTGTCTTCAAGCAGCAGCCAGTTAGTTCTGACATTGCTTAAAACTGCAACTGAAAGTAAAAAGCTGATCTGAGGTGATGATTGCTTAGCCCTGAGCAGCAATTGGGACGGGGTGTTGGGGTTCCTTGCAAAGCATACTTGCTGGCAGCATGATTCCAAATAGTACGACTGTGTCTTTTCAGGAGCAGTGTGCGGAGTGTGCCAACTGCTCCTACGGTACGAAGATCTTGGATGGGCGGCCGTGCTTCGACACAAGCAGGTACAGAAGGTGTTTCTCAGGTGTGCTGCATGTTTTGTTTCACGGGCTGTGTTCTGGTGGAGTGTTTGTATCGCAATGTCACAAGACATGCTGCTAAGAACCCTTGCTTGCTATGAGAAGGACTTCCAGGCCGCGGCATGACAAAAGCACATCTACGACGAAGTTGTGTAATGTGTTTTGTTGGGAAGTTGAGCATGGTGAGCTTGCCGTTGTTCCTCAGCCACCGGGGCAGCCTGCTTTCGCCGAAACGCCTCCAAAGGAAGGAGCATCCTCGGCAAGTTTGAAAAGCGGGCGCAGCTTCTTTTAGCGCTGCGCCAAACTGGGGTTGTTCTCATTTTTGTCCTGCTCGTGCCTGATCCCTTTGACCTGCTGCATTTTCGAATTCACGTGACAGTTCTGCCAGGAGGAATACCGCAAGCGGAACCTTGTTCTGCTGCAAGGCAAGCAAGCAGAGGAGCAGGCCAGCGTGGATCCATCATTTAAACAGGATGAATGGAGCCTACGCTTGGCCACCTCACACAGCACACGCACATGCTGAGTTTACCTTTGAGATAATTCCCTACCCACCCTGGCTACACAAAAACCTGACATCTGCTCAACAAAGTCCGATTCAAGAGGTTCACGTGCAGTGGCAGGGGCCTATCTGCAGACCTTGAAGGAAATCCTGAAACCCCCCCAGGTCCACATCTGTGTTCGTGTACACAGCAGCGATCCAACATTAGCAGTTAGAACAGTTGTCCGCAGCATTGGTAGAGCTGCAGCAGGACTTGTGGATCATCCCGCAGTACCCTTTGAGCCCTGGCACGACAGCAATGTTACTAGTTCGCACGCCCAAGCACCATAAGTTCAGGTGGGATCCGGAACCTGAAGGGATGGAAGCCGAGGATGCAAACGGTCTGGGCCCCAAGAAGAGTATCATGGGATTCAAAAAGGCAAAGCAGTGTTTGGAGTTGTACTGTCCGAATTCCTAAGAAGCTGCCGTCTCAAGTGCTTTTTGAGGTGGTCAAGTCTTCCCATTCCAAATGAACACGGAGCCTCTTTCAAACGAGGAGCTGCTGCAACCTGTGAGTGCTGAGCCCGACTAGCTTCGACCGAGCCAGGCCTGGGTCAAGGCCTACAAGAAAGTTGCTCCAAGGATCCAGCAGCTAATCTGATTTGCTTGTATGTCATGGGTCCCCACATGCTCTGGCAATATGTTGGCACCAATTCAGAGTATCCGATGAGGCAATGTGCACTGGACAGAATTAATGTAGTTCAGGTCATTGATGGACATGATTGCAAAGAAGCTGAAGAACAATTGGGGGCCAGAAGCCGTTCGCGAAGAGTGCTCCCAATTGTTCGAGGCAAGATATGTAAAGGCGCGGAGCAACAGTGAAGGAGAGCATGTCTGTAGATCACAACGCTTTTCTGACATTCACGTGCTCCTCACAGGGCAGAACCTGTAGCCGCATGCAGCTCCAATGCCCAGTGAGTGTGCCAGTCGCCATGGCAGTGCACTTCACGAACAACTCTTGCCCCTTTTGTCACCGGGCCATGTTCGCCCGAGCGCTCAGGCCAGTGGAGGTGGAGACGCGCTATGTGCCATATGCCCGGCAAGTGGAGTTTGCAGAGAAGCTTGGAGTAGATGCCATTCAGGGTGGGTCGCAGCCTTTCAAGGGCAAGACAGTCGAAGAGATCAAGGCCATTCGGCAGGAGTATGTCCAGAAAATCAATCCAAGCGGGGAGGTTCCAAGCCTGCGCACAGCGGATGGGACAGTCATTGTAGAGTCTGAGATCTTGGCCGAATATTTCGACATGGTCTCCAGCAATTCAAAAACCAAGCTTGTTCCTGCTGATCCGGTAAAAGCCAGTCAGGTCCGTTTGGCTATGAAGAAGTTCAATGATGTTGTGCCCGGGCTCTTTGGCCTTTTGCGCAACCAAGATGGGAGCAAGGACCAAGAGTGGGCCGACAAAATCAATTCGAGCTTGAAGAAGTTCTCCACGATCCTTAGCAAGGAGAGCGATTTCTGTGTTGGAGGTACCGTGTCCTTGGCAGATGTGTATTGTGCACCTTTCTTACACCGCTTAAGCATCGGTTTGTTACACTTCCGGGATTTCCAGCTGCTGGCAGATCCGCGAATTGCTAACCTGTTACAGGCTGTCAAAGGCTTGCCTGAATTCCAAAACGGCAACCTTCCAGACAAGGATATCATCGCCAATTATGAATTTGTAGCACATGGTTCGCAGTGGGGACGTGATGGCAAGTCTTTCCACGGAAGGGGCAGGAGTAAGTTTGGAGAGCATTTCACCAAGCTGAGTGCTGGTGTCAAGCTTCACTACTTTCCGGTGCGTGGGCGTGCAGAAGGTCTGCGGATGCTGCTACGCACTGCAGGGGTGCCGTATGTTGACAAACTGTACAGCCCAGAAGAGTGGAATGAAGCCAAGAAGTCTATGCCCGAGGGCCAGGGGGTCCCCGGAGTATCCACCCGCCCAGTTGGCAACCGAGGCCTGCCTGTCCTGGAGCTTGTGAGCGGTGAGCTCATTCCTGAGACAGCGGACATCGCCCGCTTGATCCAGCACGAAGTTCCAGACAAATTTCCGCATTTGAATAGCGAGGAGTTGGAACAAGCGCACAAGATGGCTGTCGCATCCAATGCCTACCCGCTTTTGTTTCCGGGCTGCATGCTAGCATCCTATCCTGAGGAGGTAACGGATGCTGTTCTGCGTGGTGAGAAGCCAGACACATACCACGGAAATTTGGGAAGTCTTCCGCCATACAGCGACGTCTTGGTCTCCCTGCAGGGTTGGGAGGCACGTCTGGCTGACAGGCCATTCTTTGGAGGTGATATGCCCCATTATGGTGAGTTCCTGTTGTTCAATGTCATTGATGCCCTGCGCCATGTGGACCCTCCAGCTGCAGCAAAGCTAGGCTGCAAGTTGCGAAGTTGGTTTGACAGAATGGCTCGTCTTCCAGCCATCGACACCTACCTCGGTGAACGAGTCCAACCTGGACCCACTGCGCACGGAAAGCCTGGTAGCATAATCACGAAGTATACAGAGCCTGCAGAGCGCAGCTTTTTCAAGTCAAGGTAGGTGTGTTGTTCCCGTCACAAGTGCGGGCCACTTTTCAAGCGCTGATCTTATTAAGGCAGAAGAAAGAGCAGGTTGCGTGTTTTCAAAGTTGCAAATGATTGCAAATGTGTATCTACTGTTTTAAGCTACTTGGGCAGGCACAAAATGCTCGGAAAGCATGCAAGGAAATGCAGATGCTCCAGGCCACGCCTTGGAGGCTAAAAGGCTTCACGCAGGCTTCACGCAGGCTCACAGCGCCTGACAAACACAAAGCGTTTGGCTTTTGGAGGCCATGCTGGCGCCAGGGGAACTGGGCACCTTTCCACGCAGATTGCCGACAGGCTGGTAGATTTGACGTGTGTAGGGAGAGGGTGATGAGCAGCCACTGAAGGGCAGAAATTGCGGTGTGAATTCCACCGCCAGGCGTCTTGGCACTGAATCAATTTTGAAATGGTGGACACGACTGGGAGTTACAAGTCTTCAAGCCAAGGACACTTGCGAGAAGTTGAATTGCTACAGCCAAGATGATGGCTATGCCCAAGCAGTTGCTCGGCTGCTAGTTGTGTAGGACCAGCACTGCAAGGAGGGTTTGTCTCAATGGCCGGCATTGCTGGAGACTGTCATTGCAAGGTGGGGGCTTTGAGGAAGCGAGACGGCGAGTGCAGGCCAGGCTCTCGGACAAGACCTTTGTGCCCACCTACTGGGCATATTTCAGATAAACGCTTCTGTCTGATGTGAGCTGTTTACTATCTTGTTTGAGTCGCCTCCTAGGCTTGAAAGAGAAGCCGAACTTGAACGCGAACATGATCATCAGGCTGGGACAGGGTAAGTGCGGCGGGTACATGGCCGAACCTTGCAAAAACTGTTTCCTCCCGATGTGCTGCTAAGGAGCCTAGCCAACCTAGCATGTACAGCTGATTGGCAGGCAAAGACATCCACACCAGGAGCCAAAGGTGCACTCAGTGTCCCCTGGAAGCACTGGCAGGATTCAAAACATCAATCTTTGACAGCAGTGTGTTTGAACTCCACATGTCTGGGTTGCAGGGCATTACTATGTTGGACACTAGGTGATTCAGGCATAGCACAGGTCCTGCAAGTTCAGGTTGCCTTCTTGCATCAGCATTTGCCTGCATCTAGGTGAAGGACCTGATGAAGGAAGAGGCCGGAAGCTGCCAGCGGCTGGTTCCATGTTTCAGACACGTCACGATCTCTGGCACAAGTGGTGGCAGACGAAGCAAGCTACAAGTGACTGTAGAGAAGCGATGGCCTTGCTGGGGACTTGCTCAGCTGCCAAGGCACAAATGTGTGTCAGCATTGCAGCGAATTCCGGCTGAATGCTCTCAAGAGCTTTCTGCGAAGCAAAGGAGAACCACAATGTTTCTTCCTTACTTGTCCATATCCCTTGCATCCTTTTCTTGGGCCTTTCTTGCTCCCTGCCGCTTCTTGCAGTTGCCCACTCTGCATGTTCCACGACATGGCAAAATCCTGATGGGTGGTCGTAAATAGCAATAGCATTCGGCCCAGAACATCAGCTGCCGCTGCCTTCCTGCCCAGAATCACGCAAAGTTCGAGAATGCAGTTCTGAAATCAAATTAGATGGGGCCGAGATAAGCCTCAGGGCGAGGAAGGTATCATTTCTCGAAATTGTCCAGCGCTAGCAGCAGCCTGCTTCAGGAAGCGACAGTTGGCACATTCATGTTTTGGGACGTGCGCACAAATGGTTGGATGCTGTCGAGGGCCTGCCGTTTGACCTGTTTCGGTCTTCAGGCTTGCATGTCCCCGTCCTTGCAGTCCGTCTGCAGGTTGGCTATGCCCTCCACATCGTATTGTTGAACTTTCTCCTCGCCAAACCTTTCGTCAACGCCGTAGCATTTTGTTGTCGATCAAGGCTTGCTGTCCGATTTGCCGCTGCCCTCTCCTTGAGTGGGTATTGCAGCGCAACTGATGACTGATGATTCTACCCGGTGAGACTACCTACCACATTGGGCCCAGTCTATTGCTCCCGCACATCCTGAGCAGGAAGCACCACTGGTTGCAGAGGACTGGATGCACATGCTGCAGATTGTATGTGGCAGCAGTGGCTGCACACTTGACGAAGAGGACAATGTCAAGAAAGTGCAGCAGGTTGGCGCTGACATTGGCTCTCCGAACAGTAACAGAACTGTGACACGCATGCCCGTCGCTGCAGCAGGCAATTCCCTCAGTTGCACTTGTTCTCGGTACACCAGGCCAGCTGCTCCGGTGGTAGCGAGAAGTTGTTTTGTAATTGAAAGAGGCGCTTGGAAACGAATACCAAGGCGACGAGGCCGGCAAAGTCAATTGCTCGTGGAGTTGACTGGGTGCCTCGTTTCATGCTCCAGGTGATTTTCTTGGCAACGCGGCACAGCTGCTTAAGCAGCACAAGCAGTGCAGCAGCTGCTGTTGACCATCAAGCTGCATCGAGCGCCAAAAAGAGCTCTTGAAAAGTGTTGGAGTCCTTGCGAGTGTGTGTATATGCATGATAGAAAAGAAGACGGTATTGGAGGTCACTATAAGCAGTGTTGTGTCTTTGTGCATTTCATGTGTGTACTTGGCTCAGATATGTCAGTACGACTACGGCGGAGCCCCGGCACGGGTTCAGGCCTCACCTGCTCACGCACTTTCCTGAATTAATGGGGTGCTGAGATTCGTTGCGCGCGCTCAAAATGCAATACAGGAGCTGGAAGCGTTTTGACGTTAAATTTCTGGGGTTGACTTCAATACCAGTGGGTGCACGTGTCGTCCGGGCCGTGTGGGGTGGGGCGGTTCCGGACAACTCAATCCAAGATTGCGCATGTTCGGGGTATTAGCATGCTGCCATTGCTAGTAGCCAGCAGTAAGTCTGCTGAAAATAGCAAGGAACTCCTTCTTTGCAGTAGACCAATCCTGTGCAATAATTCGCCCATTCTCCTGCAGGCGTCAGGTGTTTTAGATCAACGAGAGTCTGAGACGTCCAGTCTCTGTGGTTCACTGGAAGCTGCTCTGGGTGTGGTTGCCTGTACGCCCTGTGGAGGATGCTTCCCCGATCGTATGCACTTGGCTCTGGAAAGAGCTCATGACGCAGAGATTAAGCAGGCCAGACAGAGATGGTTTGTTGCAGATCACAACTAATCTTTGTTTCTGCTGTTGTCAGGGAGCTTTGTGGCACCAGCTGGAAACGGTGGCAGTGGTGACCTCCTGGTTCATCCTGAACATTACTATTGCCAGCTCAACGAAATGGATCTTTGTGCACGGCAAAATTTGCATTCAGGACTGGAGGGCACAAGTGATTGATCTGCGGCTGTTGGATGCTGTTTTAGTCGGCAGGATAAGGGATGCACGCGCTACCAGTTTCCCGTGGCCATTACTGCAGCCTGCTTAAAGCCTCAATAGGCGTAGCTGATTTGTCCCCAAAGTTGTATGCATGGACAGCAATCCAAGACCTTGGTCGCTACTGCCTTGTGTGTCAGCTGCTGGAGCATACAGGCAAACATACCCTGAGCATGAGCCATCACAGAACTGAGGTCATTCACATGATCTTCTCATGGATGCTCTGCAGATTGTACATATTCCAGTTCCGCGGAGGTCTGGCAGGCCAGGTCAAAAGCAAGTCATTTTATCGGTGTGTGCCACCGCTGTTCTGCGCTGAATGCCTCTGCCAGGGAAGAGTCTGGGGCTCGCGCAGCAAGTGAAAGAGATCATGCCTCTCTCACTCTGTTTTGCGCTGTCCGTGGCAATGGGCAACCTCTCCTTGAAGTACATCTACCCCTCCTTCAACCAGATGTTGGGCAATTGACTCAGTTCGCCAATGCAGCTGCAATAGCCAAGATTAAAAGACAAGAGCATGTTTGCATAATAAGCTTATTCGCAAGGATCCATGTCACCCCTGATCACGGTGCTCCTTGCGGTTGTCCTGCAGCAAAAGCGCTTTCCGCTCAAGACGTGGCTATCGATGCCTGTAATTTGCATTGGACTTGCAGTCTGCAGCCTAAAGGACCCTGGTCGAAAGCAACGACGGCTCATTTTTTTGGCCACGCTTTTGCCAGCACTCACTCTCCTACGTTCGTGAGTCAGCTTGTGATGTGGATTGTGTGTGAGCCGGCTCAGGAACTGAACTTCAATGCGCTTGGGGCCTTTTATGCCAGCGGTGCTACCGTGCTTCGAGCGGTGAAGTCCCTGATCCAAGGGAGGCCGGGCAGTGCAAGGTCTGCGCGGGCGAACTTTGAATTCTCTCAGGCTTCTATCAACCTCCCACAAAATGGACTCTGCTCCTCGCATGCGTTTATCATGCTGAAGTACTGCAAGGAGGCACATTTTTTTCTTTCAGCTTAGGTTACCCTGCTGTCTGCGACTCAGAGGGGGTGAGTATGTCAAGTCAAGCATGTTTACATCCAGAAGGTTGGGCGGCGCAAGCCCAGAGTAGATAGGACTCCGAATACCAGCACCATTTGTCCTAAAAACATCGCAGCTGTTCACCACCAAAGCATTCCAGGCCCGCCTTGCTGTCCGATCATGTTACTCAGCCCTGCCTACGAGCTGCCGCGAGACTGGGTGGCCTTCAAGGAGCACACAAGTGCTTCTCCTCGAGCGACCGGTGTCGTAAGGGCATTGCACGCAAACAGGCAAGGCCGCTCAGAGGGAAAAAGATGGCTGTCCGCCTCTGCTTTGGTCTCTGCCTGCCCCGTTGCAGCAGTTGCAGCGGCCTCGGCCAAGAAGCGAAGCATGCGGAGCCACGGCTGGCAAAGTGCTCGGCAAAGCTCTGATAAGTCTCGCGAGGTGCCCCGGCCGCGTGTAGCTGTTGTTGGGGCAGGCTGGGGTGGCATTGGCGCGGCAAAGGCCCTGTGCGAAAATGGCTGCGACGTGACACTGCTGGATGGCGCCCCACAGCCTGGAACTGGCATGAAGACACCTTCTGGAAAACCTTTTGAGGCAGGTACAAGAGGCTTTTGGAAGGATTATCCCAACATGAATGCAACCCTCGCCGAGATTGGCTTGAACGAAAATGATATTTTTACGGACTTCACAGAGTCGGCTTTCTACAGTCCAGATGGTTTAGAGGCCACTGCTCCAGTGTTTGGCGGCGCGACTGAGCTCCCAAGCCCACTGGGCCAAGTAATTGCAAGCTTCTCCAGATTTCGGCGGTTGCCGCTGGCCGACCGTGTCTCCATCAGTGGCTTGCTGCTGGCCATGGCAGACTTCAGCCGCGATGAAAAGACGTTCGAGGCCTACGACCGCATGACAGCGCATGAGCTGTTTCAGCGTGCGGGACTGAGCCGCAGGCTCGTAGATGACTTCCTGAAGCCAACCTTGCTAGTTGGTCTTTTCAAGCCTCCAGAGGAGTTGTCTGCAGCCGTAACCATGGAACTGCTCTACTTCTATTGCCTGGCTCATCAGACCTCCTTCGATGTGAGGTGGCTCAAGAAAGGGACGGTCTCTGAGACGCTGATGTGCCCTGTTCTGGACCATTTGGTAACTCAGCACGGCCTCAAGGTGCAGGGCGGTTGTTTTGTGGAGGGGCTTGAGGTGGCAGACGGTACTGTCAAGGGCCTCCGGTACCGAGCGCGAGGTGGCGCAGGCATCGCAGGCAGTTCGTCCATTGATGATCTTGATGCAGTGGTTTTAGCACTGGGTGCTGGGGGACTCAGGGCTGTGCTTCGTGGAAGCCCCGAAGTGGCCAGAGTCTGCCCCAGCTTAACTGCCGCGGGCTCACTGCAAGGTATCGACGTCATGTCCGTTCGCATATGGTTCGACCGCAAGATCCCCACACAGGCCCCTGCCAACGTTTTTGCAAAGTTTCGTTCACTCCGAGGAGCCGGAGGGACTTTTTTCATGTTGGATCAGCTGCAGCCAGATCAGCAAGGGCTTTGGGGAGATGATGAGCCCGAAGGTTCTGTGGTGGCCTGTGACTTCTACAATGCTGGAGCTCTGCTGCCACTGTCGGATGATGAAATCATCCGTCTACTGACAGATGAGCTGCTGCCCAGCGCTGTGCCAGAATTCCGTGGTGCAAGAGTTGTTGACAGCCACGCCATGCGCTTTCCAGCGGGAGTTAGCTGGTTTTCGCCCGGATCTTTCACGTCACGGCCATCTACTGAGACGCCGGTGAGAAATCTAGTCTGTGCAGGCCGAACCAGCAGCTTAGATCTATTCAGGGTGTTATAAGAAGACCTCATGGCAGTTCCCTGCAGGCGATTGGGTAAGACTCGGCGACCGGGAGCATGGCGCTAAAGGTCTCTGCCAGGAGAGAGCTCTCGTCACTGGCTTCGAGGCATGTGGGTTTCAGCACAGGCAGCAATTTTGCTTGACTTGGCCGCTTCAAGGCAGAAGTTTTGTTGCACAAGCATTCTTGTGAAACTAGTTGATTTTGGGAAACATGGGCGGGGGTCGCCCAGCTCTGGGGATGATTCCAGCCACATGTGGTTCCGAGCCACACAGTTGTGCCACGTGGCGCGACTGCGTGACTGTGAGCCCCGATGTTAGGCAGCAAACTCGTTGGCCCGCCGTGGAATTCTTGGACAGTGACAATCTCAGGATGGGCTGCTGGTTGTGAGCAAGGTCTTCCTTAAACGATTGTAGACAAGTCAAAGTGGCCAGAAAACTGCTTCTTAGTTTATCCGCGGCTTTTACAAGGTGCGTGAGAGAACACACTGTGATTCCAGTTCGCGATGATGCGTCTTGGCAAAAGACTGGGCCAGAAGTTCAACACCGGGCTCTTACGAGCATCTCACACATCGCCGTCTGTCTGTCAGGAACTGCAAGTTAAAGTCGCGCGTGCTGTCAACAGGACCGGGTTGCCATTGATGCAAGTTGGGCCGTGCCCCTCAGAAGAGACAGAAAGACACGGACCTACGAAGTTGTCGAGTCGTGTCAAGGCGTGTTCTGCAGGCAGATGTAGGCATTGTACAAACAAAGCGGAGATCAGGCTTTAAACAAGTTTGTACTTGCCAGGACAGCGGCGCAGCTGATCCTTGGCTGTACCACATGTGAAAGCGTGGTTTTCAAGCTGTTGTGGTGCAGAATTCTGTGCGAATGGCATCTGAGGCTATCTCCTTTGGGCTTAGCCAGCCCTTGGGTTCGCTGAATTTCGGCTTTTAACAGCCCACCAGTTTCCTCGTTCGCATGCGAAAGCTGGGCAACGAGATCCGGCATGCCTTGGAGACATGCTGTGCCCAGGCAATGCGAACGATCTTTCTTGCTGCATAAGCATTCCTGTGTCCTTTAAGCTGGCAGATTCCAATGCTGGCAAACCAATGAAGTTGAATGCGCCGAGCATAAAAGAAGCTGTGTACAAATGCTACTTTGGGTTGCTAACAGCATTGAAGCCCATGCAGCAGAACCTTTGGGCAAGTGCAAAGCTGAGGTACTATATGGCCCCTTGGGCAGCTATGTGGCTGATGCTCATGATGTTTTTCTTGGAGGAGACCCTGCGAAGGGGCGGTGCATTTTGCTTTTTCATTCTGAGAGATATTCATGGAGGGCGGCGAGCCCTTGTTCCTCTTGACACTGGCGGCATTCGACCTGCCATGGGCCTGGTTGAATTGCGTATTTACATGTATTTACCATGTCTTAATCCGGTGGCACGCTAGAGAAGACAATGTTGTTTTGATGTCTTTAGGTTCGAAGTGGATACGGAAGGCATCACAGGTGCTGGCCAAGTGCTAGGCCTCCTGATGCTTTCAGGTGGCCTGACTTTGACTGGCTGAAAGATCTCACATTGGCTTGGTGAGCAAATCTCAGGTTTGAATGCCTGCCTCTTGAATATAGCAAACTTCCTGGTAACGTCCTACACTAGTCCGGTACGGCACTCAGCATGGAGATGGCAGGTTGTCAGCAGATAAGTGTTGTGTTGAAACAAGGTCACGCTTCAGGTTCTTGGCAACGTCAAGAGCTGTCTATCTATTGCAGTTTCCGTGGCCATCTTCAGGACATTGCTGCCGCTTTATCGGTGATCCTTTTGCTTAAGTCTTTGCATCTGGATTCACTATGACTTCTCTAGCCATCCTGTATCGGGAGTTGGCAGTATATGCAGACAGGGTTGCTTGATTACTTGGCGTCCAGAGTTCTGCCAGGAACAGCCTGACCTTGGAGCAAGCCTTTGGAGTTTGCACCTGCTTGCTTGGTGTGTGGTTGTATAACCAGAAGGCCTGGCATTCGCTTGTGCATTGCTTGGGGGTGTCCGTTGAAATGTGTTTTCAACGTCGCAAAATCAGGATCTGTGTATCAGGGTTGATAGCGGGCACAACAATGACAGTCTGTAGCAGCCTGCGCAGTCATCTCCTGGGCCATCAGCTGACACGAAGCCGAAGCAGGCGCTTCTAAGTGCTATTTGCTTCTGTGCGCTCTGTAGCAAGTTGGATTGGTTCGGGAGAGGTTCATGGTGGGTACAGTTCTCAGCAAGGCTTCTGACAGAACCGAGCCTGAGCCTGTGGAGATGCCCCACATTGGGCGAAGTTAATGAAGGCGCTCGTTGAGCGCAGAAAAATGAAGGCTCCATGTGGAAGTGCCATGGCTCTGTATACGATCGTAGCGGCCATCAAGCCATGGCCTGACAGCTTTGAAAGCTTTGGTTGTCCAGGCTGCGATTCCTGCTGGTAAGAGATGACGAAGCGCAACCTCTCTGACGCTGACGCACACCCGCTGATAGCGCTCAAGGGCGTCGTTTGATCATTCCAAGACGCATTGCAGAAAATCAAGCAGCAGGATCAGCAGGCAAGAGTTAGCCTTGTAGACATGTACGATAGAGGATGGCCACTAGCTCATTTGCATTTCGGAAGATTTAGGCAACACACATGCCCTATACACAGCAGATGGACTCTTTGAGACTGTATGGTCCTCAGTTTCCCAGGTTTACCAACTTGTCTTCGCGTAACATGCTTTCAGGTTTCATAACAGTATGATCAGTGGCGGCATGAGAGGAAGAGGCAAAGGAGTGAAGGCGCCCTCTCACGAAGTGTGATGTATGGATGTGGCTGCTGAGCACGTCAGCATCGCCCCGCTTTGCAGGGCAGGCCAACCGGGAGCTATGAGCTGTCCCGGCCTGTTTATGGACCATGGACATGGCGCGTTGCATTGAGGGATCACCTGCAACCAGGGAGAAGCTGAATTACCGAAACTACGATGCAAGAACCCTAGATGCTGTACCGATGTTTGCCGACAGCCTTGCCTGTCGTTTGTTGCATTGTACTAAGGGCGAGGGAGCAAATCAGTGGAAGGATGAAAAGATTCGCTTGGTGACACCCGCCATGTTTCCTCAATGTACAAAAGGATTGGGGATGTAAGGGCATAGCTGAGGCTTTCATCAAGGGCGCAAGTTCATATTCTTAGCATACTGCAGCCGTCCTTCGGCTCAGAGTAGACCCCGATCTGCCTCAGAGCAATGAAGCAGGCCGAGCTCATGACAATTTTAGGTGCATACTGCGCAAAGCCATTGATGTGTGGAAGCACTGCCCTGTTCAAGAAGGCCCTGTGTGCTTTGTGCCTTGCGGCATCAGCATGCGGCCTCTCCGTGGAGCAGAGGCAGACCAACTTGAAGAACATTATCTTTCAGCTGCAAATTTCAAAGCTTGAAGTTGGGTCTTGTGCAAGACCAGATGGGGGCGATTTTATTCAGGCTGAGCGCCGATGCTCCCAGCTTCCTTGCAGTGCAGGCAAGTCATCAGGCTGTGAGCTGCCAGCTTTGAACTGTCATTTATGCTGCAGGCGGATGACACCGCTGGAAAAGTCGGTGCATCGCTGCTGGAGGCGTGCTGCTGATTCTAAGACACAGTCGGACAGTTTGTGGCAGGAGGGGGGCTTTGCACAGGTGTCTGACAGCTCCATTCAAGGGCGCCAGGCCAGTTTCAATTGAAGTCTGTTTATCGCTTAAGTGGGGTGTCTTGTGACATTAGACTTAGAAGGAACGTGTGGAGACCCTGCTCAGTGCCGAGCAGTCTGCTCTGCTCTCCCAGGAGCAGGCACTCAAAACAAGGAGTTATAATGAGTTATAGGTCTTGATTTTGTTTGGGGATTGAAATCTTGGAGGCCCTTGAGCAGATTGCTGCCCGTACCTAAGGCTTCCAATCACTTTGTCCTTGCAAGTAGGTGTGGTTTTGGTAGCGTGTAGCCGCGTAGCCTTGCCATGGTTTGAGGCTCAGCAGGCCTCATTGGCCCAGCAGCAGCAGGAGCTCAGGCAGCGCGAGGCTAAGGCCGGCCCAGCAGAGCCTGAAACCGAAACACATACTGGTAGCACTCTGGTAGCGGTGTAAACAACCCATCCGCAAGAACGAGTCTGCCGGCTTCATCATGTGACCAGGTGGAGCAAGAAATCGCCAGGAAGGTCAGTGGACTGGATGCCTCGCTTGCCCAGGCTGGTTCTGCAACTAGCGCAGACTACACTAATTGGTGTTGGCAAGTAACTGGGACGGCCTCTTCGATGTGAAGCAGGTGTCCGCAACCTCGTCAGGGAACCTACGAAAGCAACAGCACATTCTGAAGCAGCTGTGCTTTCCGCTTCGCTGAGGTCCTCAAGCTCCAACCTACAGGTGCAGGGTAGTGGTAACAGGGACGTGGCTCCTTATATGCAGATAGGCCTGCCGCGGCCAGGTCGGTTTGGAGACCGTGAAGCACATAGTTCAGAAGGTGCGGCGCATGGCAACTGCCTGGTCCATGTCAGATGGTACAAAGGCTGAATGTCCCTTGACCGTTTCCCGCAGCAACATACGGCAGTGATGATCGCAGGGAAAACACAACCTCAGGAAAGTGTAAAGCATTGATTCGCGTGCACAACAAAGCACAGTATGCACGCCACTTAAGGTTCTGAAGCCAGTTTGACTAAGTCTAGATGTCCTAGCCTGGATGCATTGGATGCAGTATGGGTTGTGGCGCCTCTGCTGGCGGTGGTCCTTCAAGCCCGCATCCTCCCGCAAAGTATAGGGAGGATAAGGACGAGGCCTGCGGGCCATCTTGGCCACGTCTCGTCCGGCCAATCAAACTGCGGGCTTCTTGTTCGCCAGGATGTGTTCACCAAGGGGCCAAAGGCTGGTGCTCAAGTTTGCAAGATGTTTCAGTAAGTGAGCGGCAGTCAACGCAAGATGCTGTGCCAGTGATGTGTCTAGTCTAGAGTCTAGATTCCACACGTCCTGCATGGTGCTGTTCGAAGGCAAAGGCAAAAAGGAGTCTTGGCTGAAGTAATGTTCGACACTTCTGACCCCAACGTGGGGCAACTCCATCAACTGACTACCTGGCGGTATTGAACACTTCTGTAGTAGGCCTGGACAGGCACGAAAGGATGCGGAGTGTTTACAGAGCATGTAGTGAACAATGGCAGTTGCTAGAGCGCAGATTTCATGGCTCTTGACCCCTGTAGGCACATAACAGGTTTCAATTTGTATGGCCCGCAGCCTGAATCCTTGATGCTCCGTGATTCAAAGGCTTTGCTCTAGAGAGAGTTTGTAGAACCTGCATTTGGCACAGCAATGCCTCACCACAAGGGTCGGGCTCGTGATGTGGTGCCTCATCGTGAACATCGCACCTCAAAGAAGGCCGACGCAAACAGGTTGGAGTCTCCTGCATTGGGACCCGTTCCTTCACGGACAGTGGTCGCGTTCGACCTCGATGGGTGCGCAGGAAACCTCCCATTTCCCAGTGATCTGTGGTCAAGAACAATGCCATATCTGGGTTTTGCAGATATCTGCAAATGTGAAATGACAGCCAGAGGTGCATGGATCTGCCTAGCCAAAGAGAACGAGCTGTGGCAGTTGCTCTGCAGCCGGCACTTCCCGTCTATGTGGCAATCGGTTGTCGACAATCCCTCGAAATGTTCGTTTCTTTTATCGCCTTCTCTTCAAAAGGCTGAGCTGTCAGAAGCTCCAATTGCAAGCATAGACTGGAAGCTGCTGTTTGCCCGGCGATTGCAGAAACAACTCCGCTGGGACCAGGGTCATGTTCGAGCAAACTCTCGTTGCGTAGCTTGCGGGGAGGCCTTGAGTGCAGAGCCCGGAGCTTCTGATGAATGTGCCGTGCACATGGGGGACTTCTTGCCGCTGAATTCGGCAGTGTGGAGCCGTGCTGAGCTTCAGCAACTGCAAAGCTATGCCATGGCAGCATGGCGCAGTATTGGTGGGACCTCCGCCCTGCGACGGAGCGCCAGGATGTACAGGGGCGGTGGACACTGGGCAAAAGGATTGAGCTTCAAAGGCTGGGGCTCGCAAGGACACTGGGCAGAAGGCTTGGGCAAGCGCCCTGGCTCTCTGAATCTTCGTGCGTGCATCCTCGGACATGTACCTTGTGCCTGGTCTTGCTGCGGCTCTGATGAGCTGATAAGCGAGGGTTGCCAGGTTGCCGTTCATCGCGCCCGCTGAGATCTGCTCATATGTGACTGCCTACCGCAATGTAAGCGCTAGATGTACAAAAAGCAGGCAGGTCCGTTCTTCAGAGGCTTGGTCGATCACCTGCCTGGTCTGGCAATTCATGCCAGGCATTTGATGTGCAAACAAAATTGCTTAAAGTTGTTGACCAAAGTGTCACCTGTCATTATTGCACCCGCGGCAAAATATTTTTGGCTTCATCACAGAATTCTCCTACTGTTGACCACATCGTACAGTTGGCAGAGCACGTTTGACAATGCAACTAAGGAAGTCAAAAAAGAAAGCTTCGGAGGCGAAAGACATCGAGTGGCACAACAAAAACTGCACTGACGCGCAGTTTGCATCCTGGCTGAGAGCAAGGTTTATAGATGTGTGCGGTTTTTCAACAAGGGGGCTGTCCTCGACTCAGACCCCGTGTCTACAATTTATATAGATTGCGAAAAACACATCCAGAGGATGGTTTCCGGCTGAAGAATATTGCTCTCCAAGGAGTGCGTCAAGACACTTAGAGAAGCATACCCGTCCCAGCCTTACTGATATTGGCAGGGTCCTGGTGGCGTGGTATCAGGTTGATGACTGCACTTATTGGAAGGTTTGATGATCGCAGAAAAAAGACCGTGCATAAGCGTGAAAACGTGTCCAGGAACGCAATAGATTACAGAGATGCTGCAAAGAGGAGTCATGCAGTGCCCATTTTTCCCAGGTTTGCTCACTGCCGTCATTGCTGATGTATCGTCAGGTTAGATCCGGTGGCATTGACGATGTGCTCAAAGCTGACAATTGGGGCAAAGTCGAGATCACTGATATAGGCGGGATTCGCAAAATCTTGCTGTACACCTAATGTCACCCGCGGCAAGACCGGGCCAGTGTCTCGCTCAGCTGAAGGCCCAACGCGGCTGTTGTGCAACTCAGCAGCGTCATGCAAGGTTCCGTGCGTTTCCTAATAAGCACGAAGATGCTCAAGTGCTGAAGTGCCTCTGGTATGATGCAAGCTGTCTGAGCCGTTGGTTTTTCTGGTCGGGTTTTTGCTGCCTTGTGTCCTAGGTGACATGTGCGGAGTTTTGCTGGTGGACTTGTACACAAATCCGGAGGACAAACAAGGGCAGCTTCATAATGCAAGCTGTGTAAGGTTTGCTAGACACATGGCATAACATAGTGAGCGCATAATTTGTGACCTCGTCCTCCAGAACAGCTTCTATGTGTGCCGCAACTGTCAAAGACACGACCGCAAACTGGAGCTGAGACTTGACCGGCATCGTAAGAAGTCATCCCGGTTCTTCAGATTTTGTGCGAAGCCCCTGGCCTCCTAGTCAAGAAGATAGCAAGGTTTGCCGAAGGCAAGTCAAGGGGAATGCAGGTTGTCGCTCGACGGGTCGATTCACAAGGGGCTTCAGCTTGAAGGATGCCATCCTACAACGTGATCAGCCACTTATTTGCTTACCTGAGCAGGGTCTGACGGGCTCCTTCCGTGTACCCCTTGTCCCTGCCACACTTCACGAATCCTGAACTGAGCTATGCAATGCATGCTAAGGTGTGTTCGCTGTTTCACGACGAAGGCACATCACGAGGCGTTGGCAGACTAGAAGACAAAGCCTCGACAGCACATCCTGCTCTTGCCAAACTCCCAAAAATCTGGAGCTATCTAACCAAGCATTAATTGTGCTAGTAGCAGCTTGAAATGCTCTTTGAGCTGGTTGATTAGAATCTATGCTTTTGACGTTTCCTTTCCGGTGCCAGGATGTCGAGGATGTGCCAGTCAGCCCGAAGGGCAAGGGTAAATTGGGAAGGCCAGGCTGATGTTGGCCAAAATGCCCGGCTTGATTTCAGTTACCTGCCACACATATGACGTGATGGAAAGACACATAGCCTGTCAGTCGTCCTTTTGA